CTACCTCCCACCTACCACTCTCTTGCTTCTATAAATAGAGAGGGTGTGAGACTTAGGAGAGCAGGGGAAACAGATCTTAAGCTACCACGAAGGATGAGAGAATAGCTAGAGAGTTAGAGAGGAGGAGAGCATCTTGAGGCCTTGTATCAAGGTATCGCTTGAGAGGGAGGTTATAGAAGAAAGATGAGGGCTCATCTCTATGTATAAGCTATGTATTCTCCATTTCTTTTGCCTTGGTGAACTATTTGATTGATTCTCTTCCGTGGACGTAGATCCAGTTGGATTGAACCACGTAAACGATCTGTGTTTGCTTGTGTTCTTTTTCGTCTCATTTCTATGCCAGGAAGTACATATCTCACAACAATTGGCGCCGTCTGTGGGAAGATCCATACTTCTTGGCTAGAGGTGTCCGCGTATAAGTGTTCGCGGCCAGTGACGAAGAAGAGGAGTTTGGCATTCACAAACAGAGGAGCAAGCGGATCGTGTCGCAGACATCACAGGCAGCCAAATCGCGACAGATTCGGTGAGCAGTGGAAGCTTTGATCGACTGGATTCGCACCGCAGGTTGTGCGGTTCGACGAAACGGAGGAACGGAGGAGGAACAGTCATCGAGCGAGGGCCAAAAATTTGCGACAGGGCTGCCAGCAGAGGATTTCGGTCTTGCGAGCAGCTCGGCTAGAGGGAAGAGGTGGAGATCGCGCAGAGAAGAGTTAAGGGAGTTCCCTGTTCGGGAGTTTGCGAAGCAGGAGGACCTGAGCAGTTTGGCGAGGCACGACGACTCTAGAGAGGCAGTTATTCTCGTGCGACAGGCAGAGAAGGAATTCCTGATTTGTTCCTCTGGACGCAGAGGAGTGCCTGCGGAAAGGAGGTGCGAGCACAGAGCAGGAAGTTTTCTCCGGTGAACAGGTGTGATCTCTGCCAGAAGAGATCAGAGCTCTCTGTTCGGTTGGCAAAGGCAGTGGAGTTCACGGGGAGAAGCCTAGTTCTTGGAAGGGCAGCATGTAGAATTCATTGGAAGAAATCCTAGCCACGACAATGAGTTCCGTCAAATTCGACATTGAGAAATTCAACGGGAAGAACGACTTCGGCCTATGGAGAGTAAAGATGAGAGCTTTATTGGTTCAACAAGGTGTTGCAGAAGCCTTGTAAGAGTCGGCGGGCTTGCCCGCCGGGCAGACCGGCGACATTGCCGACCGACATGACCAAGAAGGCGAAGATCGGCATGCTGGACAAGGCTCACAGTTTGATAATCCTGAGCCTGGGCGACAAAGTTCTGAGGGAGGTGTCGAGGGAGACAACGGCTCAAGCACTTTGGGCCAAACTCGAGGTACTCTACCTGACAAAGTCTCTGGCCAATAGCTCTTTCTGAAGCAGCGCCTATTCTCCTTCAAAATACATGAAGACAACATGAAGACAAATCTGTCTCAG